TGACAGCGAAGCACGTGAGAGTGTGGATCATAGAAGAAAGGAAACTGCGAATCCCGGCAGATCCCTGCAGTGACCCACACTTGCACACGTAAGTCGTGGCGTTACTAGGGGGCAACCCGCGAAGTTTGCTCAGAGTCCAATTCAAGCTGCTGCTCCTTCACCTGCCCGTTCGCCTGCCCGAGATCCGCGGCGCGCTGACTGCCCGCTTCCGCGGACGCGGAGGCGGCGGAAGGGGGCGACGGGGGCGCAAGGATGGAGGGGGCTGGCGCGGGGACCAGCACGAGTGCCGCGGATCCGCGGGATGACGCCCCGTGGTAACCAAAATCGCTGGTTTCGCCCTTCGCCCAGATGACGTTCTGCTGCAGTCGCCCCGCAACGACGGGGCGGTCGTTGCAGTCGCCGGTGTCCAGCTGGCGCCACACGTGCACAGTGGTCCACGTGTCACCCCGTGGATTGGTTGGTGGTTTGGAAGCCGCCCAACACACGCCAGTCCTGCTGCTCGTCCAGTGCAACGCCTTCCACCGACTTGTTGAAGATGAAACGGTCCGTCGCATACACGCGCCCTTCTGCTATCCATGCGACGAGGGCGTCTGTCGCGCAGAGCACAAAGAACTTTCAGAGAATCACTTTCAGATGTATTGAGATGAAAGAGCCGGGTTTCACATCAGCAACGCGAGCTGTGCACGGACTAGAATTGACGCATTTGACTCTAAGCACCAATTAAGGCGGATTCTGAGCAAATAAATGTTGCTCCTTTCCTTCGAAATGAATCGCTCACTCACCAGATCCCACCATCGTTCCAACTTCGGAGAGGCCTATAGCGAGCCATCCGGCGGTCTGAGCCTTCGCAGCAATGCGAATTGTCGCTGCGGGTGTCGTTCACGCTCCAGTGCAGCTCGAATCCGTCACTCATCATCGCCGCGTTATCGTACGACGAAATTTCCGGCAAAGCGGCCGGCTGGCCGTTAATACCACCGGCCGAAATGAGCAGCAGTACGAGGCACGCCGTTGCAGACCCAAAAAGCCGCTCGAAGGGAAATGCCATGCTGGCTGGCCGCCAAGTGTCACGCGGCGGGGTGACGGACACTGCTCGCAGCGCGAAGAGATCGTCTTTGCACGATTGGAGTGAGGCAATATCCACAAGTCCCTTGCAAGTTGATGTACACGGGTAGAAGAGAGCTCTACTCGCACAGTTGATATGGCTCATGAGCAGGCTGGGTGGGCAATCGCTAGCAGCGATGAAGCGAACCAGGAAAGCACAAGCAGGCTGTTCTGAAGGGGCTACCCTGGGAATACTCGAGGTTCTGAAGGATGGCCCAGACACGAATCTCATATAGCCTGGGAGTTTCCGCGGGCGGGAATCTAATCGCACGAGAATGCGGGAAGAATTGCGGAGCTCCCTCTGGCGGAGCTCGGATCGAGAAATCCCGCGCGGGGCTAGAGGGTTTCCTTGCGGAGCTCGAAAATTACCCCACGGACCTCGAGAATTCCCCAGCAGGGCTCGAAAATTCTCCCGCCCCCCTAGAGCTCAAGAATTGCCCCGCGCAGCTCGAGATCCCCCCCGCGGAGCTCGAGCTCGTCGCACCGCTCGACCAGAGCAACTCGCCATTCAGAAGAGCCGTCCCCAGTGGGCAGGCCCGGCCTTCGTGTCCCCCCCAGCGCGACAGCTTTCGTTTCGTGTCGTGTACGAATCGCGGGCACCAGGAACGAAACAGCCGCAGGGTTGACCATCAGCATTTAGGGGCGGGGAGGGGAGGCATACACACAACTTTGAACTGGGCTGCCCGCTAGATCTGGGAAGCGAACGATGGCAAAGTCTAGGAGGCATTGGGTGACGGACAGAACCTTCTCGCCTGGGATTCACGGCGGTTTCTAGGGAGCAAGTGTCACTCCATACATTCCGCAGTTCTCTGCCATGCAGCTCTGCTGCTCTGGCCGCTCTTTTCCGTGCTTCCACGTGGACCGTACCAAGTAAGCCCCTTGCGTACTAATGTGGGAATCTCGGGTCTGGTGCGCGAAGGGATATGGGGGCGTGTGATATTTGGGTCCAGAACTGACGAAGCATCCTCCGTAATAGGAACTGCGACATCAATTTGAAGCCCATGTGCATTTTCGAACTCACTAGTAACTTCTTGTTTCTGCTTGAGTTCTTTTGACACCCCTGGTCATAACACTGGTCTTTCAGACTAAGAGAATAACACAGTACTTGCAGTGATTTTCTGGTGGGAGAGACGGTTTCCATGGCCAGAGTGAACCAGTCTGGAAGAGAATTGGTCCATCTGGTTTACTAAAGCCACCTCAATTTATCAAGGCTAGTGCCAAATCTTCATACAATTACCAACTGTGCAACAATGGACAAATACCGTATGGTACCAAAACCAAAATTTCACAAAACTGAGCCATGGCACAACTCCAACATCTAGATAATGGTGCCGGGAGGAATCACAGCATCCTTGATGACTGTAACGATGCCGCTCTTAATGAAGTAGCCGTCCGTCTCCCGGGCTGCCTCCTCCACCTGATCCTTGTTGATAATCTGCACGTTGTCCCCGATGCGTGCATTCTTGTCAATGATGGCCTTGTGAATCACCACGTTCTTCCCAATGCCAATTGGCACGCCACCACTGGCTATCAGCGCCTCCTGTTGCTCCTCCGTCTGATTGGTCGCACAAGATGTCGTGATAAAGGCAAAGGGGGGCGAAGGGAGGATAAGTAATAAGGTGGACCAAGATGAATGGACCATGCATTGCACCCATCATTCAGCACCAGATGGACCTAAGAAGAATAGTCAGTTGCTCTCAAGCAACACACTCACCTCATATGACCCCACAACCCTCTCACAACCCTCTCAAGAGCGCCTATGAAAAGCATGTCCTTGATGATGATGGACCCCGCACCAATCGGTCACTTGCAATACAAGCAACACACTAGCTCGCCTACCAGTCCTCTTCAGCACCACACCGCTCTCACCTCGTAGTAATCAGCGCCCATGACAAGCGTGTCCTTGATGACGGACCCTGCACCGATCTTGGCGCGAAGGCCGATCACCGAGTGGTGTAGTTGCGAGTCCTGGGCAAGCAGAGGATGCAGGGGAATGGGAGAGAGTGGGGTGAGAACTCGGAATGGGGTACGAGGTGAAAAGGAGGTGGTGGAGGAATAAGGTTACACTGTGTATGAAACGCAAGCCATCTCTCATCGAGTGAACGACCGTTCAAAGCGCGTGAGGGCTACAACCATCACCATCAAATGCACACACCATCAGTCAAAGCATGTCACATCCCTCCAGGATATTGCAGTCTTTCCAAACAATGCTTGGCAGATTGGAGGGCAGCAAGTCGCGTGGCCGCGTGCGGACAGGTGCAGTAGTAATCCCCCTCTAGTCAACCACACTCCTCCATCTCACTCAACAAACCCTCCCACCTCTAGTCCAATCTCAGCCGTGCAGCGATCTCACCTCAATGACGCACCCCTCGCCAATCACGCTCTCTGAGATATCCACGCTCTGCAGCTTAGACGGCGGCAGGTAGCGCGCCTGGGTGTAGATGGGTGCAGAGCGGTCGTAGAAGCTGAAGGGCGAGTTGGGCTGCGTGGTGGCGAGGTTGGCGTTGTAAAATGCCTCGATGGTTCCAATGTCTTCCCAGTACCCGTCATACAGGAACGCTTGGACCTGGTGGTGGTGGTATGGTAGTAACGAGACATGACAGTAAAGGGAATGGAGCTGAGTGAGTCTGCTGTCGGGATTGGCATTGTAAAAGGCCTCGATGGTTCCAATGTCTTCCCAGTACCCGTCGTACAGGAACGCTTGCACCTGGTGGCAGTAATGAGACATGACAATAAAGGGGATGGGGATGGAGAACACAGGCGGAGTGAGGCTGGTGCTGGGATTGCCGTTGTTGAAGGCCCACAATGATGTACAAGGAGCCATTGTACACGAAGGCTTGCACTTGATCGGGATGATAATGTGAAAAGGCTTGCATGGTGCAGACGTGGTGTTTGTGAAAATAGGGGATGACGAGGAAACGAACAGGGGGGAATGAATGGAAATGCCGGACGAAAGGAGGTTGCAGGTGAGGTGAGAGTAGAATGAATGACGGGACGAAGAGGCGGTGAGGGTATGATCATACGAAGCATAGGAGTCTCCTTTTCCACCTCCAGCGTCCCCTGCGGACCTCCATCGCCAGCTCTCTTTCTCAACCTACCTACTCCTCCAGCTTTCGAGTTTCCCAAGCTCACTACCCTCATGCTTCACCTTGCTGCCTCTATAACGTACCAGCCTCATTCGCCTTCCCCGTGTCGTCTCTCGCCTAACCACCCTGACTCCTTCACCCAGGCTCCCCACAGGCCACCCCCTGAAGCGCTCACCTTGGCGCCCTTGGCGCACGCGCCGGGGATGACCTCGGAGCCGAAGTCGTTAGCATCGGGGAAGTCGTCGGCGAGCATGCGGATCATGGCGTCCTTGCTGATCACGTAGATGCCCATCGACGCGATGTACGGCATCTCCTTGGCGCGCTCCGCGTCCAGGCCCAGGATCGTCGTGTCCACCTGCGGCGATATGCGGAAGGGAGAGAGGAGAAGGAGGGGGGGAGGGGGGATGGGGATGGGGGGGAAGGGGAATGCGCGGGGAGAGGGACGGGGAAACGAGGGAGGCGCTAATGACGTAGATGCCCATCGACGGCGATGTGGCGGCATCTCCTTGGCGCGCTCCGCGTCCAGCCCAGGATGGTGGTGTCTCACCTGGTGAGTCGACCGGGGGAAACGGGGGGCGGCGCGAGTGCGGAAAGGGAGGGGAGAAGGGGAGGCCGTGCCGGGGGTGAGGGGGAGAGAGGGGGTGGAGGGGAAAGTGGGGCCGTGTTTAAGGGAAGAGGGAGGGGAGGAAAGGGGGATGGGGAAGTCGAGTCAGCCTTGCTTCTCAGCAAAATCAACGCACGCCAGCAAATCACACCGCCAAACACCGCGACACACCGTGTTACACCACGGACCTGCATAGCCTTGAGCGCGTCGCCCTTGGGCTTCTCCGCGAACTCGACAATCCTCCGCCGTGTCGTCGATCTTCATGAGCCCGAAGGCCTCGGCGCGCTTCTCGTCCATGGGCAGCGCGGCGATGGTGATGTCGGCGTCGTTCTCGCGATGGCACTTGATGAAGCGCTGGTAGTCCATGCGGTACAGGTGGTCTCCCGCGAGAATGAGGGAACTCCTGCACGTTCTGCTCCTCCAGCTGCCACAGGTACTGCCGCACCGCGTCCGCCGTGCCCTGTGGAGGAAGCGCGGGAAGCCGACGGGGAGGGAGTGAGGGAGAGAGGGAGGCACGACGTGGGACGTGGTGAATCGCTGGTACGATGTTAGTCCGTGCGATATTCCTGGCCGTCGATGCAGCTCCCAGTGGTTCTTCCGAACGGGATGGGATGGAAAGGGAAGGGAAGGGAAGAGTGAGGTGAGGGTACGCGGGTCGTCGAACAAGGCCGATACAATGCTTCGACGATAAGTCGTGGTCCCTCCAAGCACGCACGAGGTGCTGATTGCCTCGTAATAGCATTCCCACACCTGCTGTCGTGCCCCTGTTAGCCGAATCTGGGAAATTATGCACATTAGTCCAGCCGGTTGGGCAGAGCACGGAACTATTTACCAACTTTGCCAGCGCAAAAGACTCCGCGCAATGACCTTGGATTAGATTCTGGCCAAAATCTCAGTGACGAATCACACAGGATCGAAGCCCGACGTAATGATGAAGAATCTTGAATATCCGCTTACCTGGAACCAGTTGGGATTCTCAGGGCTCTGGCTGCGCTGCGAGCACTTCGACGAAACCCTGCGTCTTGTAACCACCCATGTTGCTCGTGTACGCGCGCGACAGATGCCTGTTGAGCGACGGCCGAGTTGAACTGCGTCATCACGTAGATCTTCACAATGTTTGCTGTTGATGCAGTTACTAACGGGGATGTCGATCAGGCGGTAGTTGGCGCCCAGAGGCACGGCGGGCTTGGCGCGCTTCTTGGTGAGCGGGTAGAGGCGAGTGCCGGCACCGCCGCCGAGAATGATACCGAGAACGCTCTGAAAGGCGGAGGGAAACAGCGGGGAAACAACGGGGAAACGTCAGGGACATAACGAAGTCAAGAGGAGATGGCAACGGTAGGAGGAGCAAGCGGAGAGCTGATTCGACTGATTTCCTTCATCAGAAAGCTGGCAGCGAAAAGTGTCGAACAATAATATTGAATGGGCAAAATGCAACGAACGTGGAGTGCAGGCATAAATTTAGATGCATTTAGAAATAATGACGTGAACAACACAAAATGTCGAAAGTTGACGGCTCTGGGTCCGCCGTATGGGTGATGTCAGAAACATTAAAGCGACACATGGCGCGTCGTTTCAAGCGAAGATACCAGTCAGTTTAAGTCTATACCACATCTACGTGTCGAGGAGGGTCCGTAACTACAGAAGATGGCGACATTGCCCTAACTACTGTTAAATATACGCGTCTCCATGACTGGCCTGACCTGGCTGACGTCAGGGTCCATGCAGACATCCTTGGCGGTGCTGGAGTCAATCACGGCGCGAGGAGCGGCGGGTCTTGCGCTAGTAGCAGCCTGCTTGGAAGCACGAGGCGCTTTGGTGGTGAGAGGCGAGCTCCAGCGAGGCCAGATGAAGCAAAGCCGACCTTCGCGGCGCCTGCTGACTTGTTCTCGCTGCGCGCGACGGGCGCGAGCGACGCCTTAGCGGCGGGGATGGTGACGGTCGCCATGGCTACCTGGTACAGGTGGCAACAGAGTCTCGCAGACGAATTTCGTAATAGTGAGGCGAGACTTGCTACTTCGTGCGTCTAATTGGAATCTGGAGAAATTCGACGCTTTTGAGAAGCAGCCTGGTTGCCTCAATTCACATTCCAACCAACAGCTGACGATTTCTGGTTCCTTTTCGGTTCAAGCAGCAGCCATGGATGGTCAGAATCAGGCGAGGCGGTGCAGCAGCTTGGGATGGTTTGGAATGCCATGCGCCGTGGCATGGATTGGCTTGGAACGCTCCGAACCAGTTGGTATGGGGGGAGATTCCCCCCTTGGCGCGCCTTGGCGGGAGTGGTTGGGGGAAACAGTTGCGCGGTGGTGCTGGTGGTCCATGATATGGGCTGGGGAAAATGGCTGGAGGAACTTTGTTTAACCACGTGGCAAGATATGTGGCAGGGACTTGCCACGCAAGCGGTTCTCTTGATCCATGAGGAGTGGCTTGGACATATCCTCCGCTGGCGAAGCGTGGGCTCCTGTGCCACGCAGCCCCAAACTGGTGAAGTAGCGAAAGATCCCATGGCAGCGTGGGGCTGACAACAGGGCTCCAAGCCAAGGGAAATGTGAGCCCTGAAACAGCATTTTGCTGGACTGGAATTTTGTAGATTCTATCGCGAATGCCACGGTGGACAATCTCCTGTCATTCCGCACGACGACCACATGGCTGGTTACTCCAATTGTAACGGAGTATTATTGCGAAACTCGATAATGCACCATATCTTAGTGAGAGTGTTCTGACAACTAAGCCTTCCAATGCCAACACTACAGCAATCTTTAATAGGTGGAATTGGTCTAGTACTTGGCATGTATAACAGTAAAATCCAGATATTAAAAAACACATCAAGTGTGAAAACGGGGTCGATATAGGCCTGCAACGAAATTGGTACTTATAAGTTTGAGGTCACGGGGTCATCTTGATGGACAAATTTATCGTTCTGGTAAGCAGCCATGGCTTCTTCCCTGCTAAGCACAGGGCCGTTATCGTTCCACATAGACCATACAAGATGCCACCCTCCCCCGTTAGCACCACTTGGGCGCCATAGCTCCACCCTCTTTCCGTGCTCAACCTCAACACCTGGATGCACGGAAAGGGGCAAACAAGCACCAGCGGAGCGAGGTTATGGCTAAGGTTGCGAACAAGAGAAAGAAACGGAATGAAATAGGAACTTCTCTATTGCTTTGGCTCAAAATAACGTATACAAGTACCTTGGGCGTCAGCGATGCTGTAGGTCGATCGCGCGAGAGCAGCAAACGACTTTGAGCCTTCATCTTGCAAAACTTCGACTTCCCCCACCATCACGGACAGCGATAGGTGTGACGCCTTGAATTCCTGAAAGAGGAAAGGAAAATCAGATGACACAAGAATCAACGGAACACATTTGTTAGTAGACGATAACAGATGGAGAGAAAGCCACTCGGTTACTGCGGGATGCAGGTTGTACCTCCTTGGTCTCAAATTCATGACAAGAGCAGGGACTGAGTTCGGATTCCTTACATTGAGCAGGTTCTCCTTCTCTTGTTCCGTCGCAAGAGTCACGCTTCCAGCACCAGGAGCCATGAGCGTCGCAGCTTCAGGACCAAACAGGATAGACGAGGCCGACGCCACGTCATCAGCCGCGAGAGCAGACACGAACGCACTCCAAGCCGTCTGGACGTGGAAATGCACTTCAGATTGTTGCGGCGCCATCCCTAGATCCCGCGTATTCGCCTCCTGGTCTTCGCCGGAATGCGCTTCAGCCTCCTCATACTGACTCTGCGCCGCCTTGACTGCGTCCAGGTGTCCGAAGTCATTGTCCATCATTAGAACGTCCGGGACGTCCGTCGCCGCCGCCGCTTGCGCTACCACCGGAAGCTCTGCCGTGGCGTCAGGAGAAACGGAAGAATCTGCAGATATCGTAGCCGTGAACGGGACCATTTTAATTTGATCCTTGGCGCCGCGGTTTTGCCACATCAGCCAGCTGACGCCCCACTGGGAGCAATCGTCGGTATTACTGTCGGGCGAAGGTTGGATTTGGTCCCAGAATGCGAGGAATTTCCCGTCGTTATTGTCACCTCCGGATTCAGAGCCTGGCGCGGCCGAGTGGACCGAGCCGAGGACGACCAACGCGTGATTCGCGGGCTTGTAGAGGCTGTTTAAAAGGCGATACGAGGTGAGAGACTCAACCGCGAACGTCGGATTAGAGATTGACCCGCTGAGGTCTTTTAGGGCTTGTCCCTTATCTCGAGGCGTGAAGGAGACCCGCTCTTCAGTTCCCGGTCCCATAAAAACCCTTCGCGGCGAGAAGACGCGGCGACTGGACGCTCCAAGGAAGCTGGCGAGCTCGCTCAACCCCACGGCGACGCATTCTGCGACATTGCCGCCGCGATTGGCGGCGGTTGCAACTCCGCTAGCAGCAAGAGCTTTCGCAGCAGCAGAATCTGATACCGGCTGACTCTGCACGGACGGTAGCCGGCGAGCGCAGGCGAATGTGATGCTGCTGGAGAGGACAAGCAGGAGCAGAAGAGCAGGAAGCGAGTTCGCCGCCGCCATCGCTTCAAGGTGGAAGAACTCAACTTGGGAAACCGAAATGAGTTGCCGATTCAAGTGACGGTTCGTTGGTTATAGCCAGACGAGACGACGCCTGGAGATGCATGGTTCTCCGTTCAGCTCCGTTCGCTAGCAGCTGGCTTAAAGCCCGAGTCTAGAATGGCAACTTTTCAAGTTCAAGATTCTTGAACTTGAATTCGCCTCCCCTCCCGTCGCCTTTTAGGTGGCTCTCCCTTCCCGCGCCCGTCGCCCACGCTTACTCCCACGCTCCCTCTGAGTGTCTCCCACGCTCTCCCATCATGTCGCTGGCCTTCACATGACCATCGCTTGCCCATTCTGTCGCTTTCCCAACACCTTTCAAGTTCAGTATTCTTGAAGCCTTACCATTCTAGACTCGGGCTTTAATCGGCGAAGCGCAGGAGGAAAAGACTGTGCGTCTGTGACTGGATGAGCAAGGAAATATTGCCACCCATGTTCTCATGATATCCCGCCTGATTCTCTCTTCACTTCCCCTCGTTACCTCTCCCTCTCCCGCTCACTCCACTCTGCACACCTTTCCTTCCTTCCCCTCCCTGACTCGCTTCCACTCTCCGCTTCAGTCTGCTGCACTGCCCCCGCCCCCACCCCTCCAAAACTGTACAGTATCAACATGGAAATGGAATTTGTCGTTCATAACCTTCTACTGTACAGTGCACAGTGCATGGCATCGAAATCAATGGACCGCAAGGGCGCCGCTGAGCTGAGCCTCCTTGATTGGAGAGAAGGTTTGGTTCTCAACATTTCACCACTCTCCTTCAGCTGATGTGGAGAACCTCCGTCCATTCGTACAGCGTAAAGAGATTCACCGTCTACAGCGTCTCGTCAGCCATAAGATCGTGCGTGAAAGACAAAGCTTCATCTTGTAAAATCCCAGATTCTGAGAAAGGTGAAGCAGTAAGTACTGTACGCCAAGAAGCGACGGGCATGTTACAACTTTAAATACTACACCCTGTTTCTCGCTACACTGAACTGCGGAAACACACTGAACAGTGGAACTATTCCTTGGACGTATTTGAAAAGTTTACAATATCCGTCTCTAGGAGGCGGGTTATCCGAAATTTCGTTGACCTGGGTACCCTACCGAGCCATATTAAAAGTTTAATCGACCGTCTTCAAAGGTAGCTGACCTCGTCAAACCGAACTGGTGCAAAAGTTTACTATATCGCGTAATTTGGCGCGTCGAGCCACAGGGTTCAGTATACCGGCATACACAATAGCGAGAAACAGGGTGTATCCAGCCCACAACTTTGCAGTCTGCTTACCTCTAAACCTGGGTACACCTAGTCCGCGGTATTTTAACCACGTGAACTGTTTAGTTTCAAACACCCTTTATTCGTTTTCGGGTAATGATATGGGCACCCAGAGACTTTGAGGTTATTATTTTACAGCGGGATGCCTTTCCGTCTGAAGAAACGCACACTTAGTGGTCCGAGATAGGGGGCATATCGGTATTGGCAGAGTTTTAACTGCCGTGATCTCGCGACGGGAATGCTAGATTCTACCCTCATTAATTTTCAAACTACTCGTTTAAACAAGTTTGACCAAGGAGAAGTACCCTCGCGCGGTTAAGATAGCGGCGGTTAAAATACCGCGGACTAGGTGTACCTTCAGGTCCCACCCTGCTGGAAAGTGTATCCACAAATATATTCCTTCTCATTTGATGGGGATCCTCTTAGATAGGACCTGAAGGAATGTAGAACGCGACCACATCTGGTTGTGCCTGCTAGAAAGACATAGTGCCGTCGTAGCGGAAGCCTTGATTGTAGAATAGATAGCAAGAGAAACTTGTAACTGAAAAGATTCATAACAATGGAATGATTGTGGCATCATACAGCATGGTATTTATGCCTGTAGCTACTCCTCCAGAATGACCCCATCTACTCCAATAATTGTACCACCAATAATGGCAACTCCAATAAAGGAGTACCAATAATGCAGCCCCTACAATAATTGTACAATTATTGTAGGACCTGGAGTCTTATAAGGAGGATTACACTAAAACCTAACAGCATATAACTTTCTTATACTTTGTATTTCCAACACTCCCCCTTGCTGTAGGTTTTACAGTAAATTTACTGGGGTTCATTCTGTGGAGGATGAGAGGATGAGGTGGTGTACCACAAAAACACACTTCAGTTGAAGTTGTAGACGCAGTGATTCCGTTTCACATTTCCCGTTGATTGTGGAGCAAACCACCACCTTAGAGTTTGTAGTTTCAGATTGAAAACGCGTTGAACAAAGTTACTGTAGCAGTTGCACGTTCCTCGTGAGGTGGTGTTTCTGCTCCTGTTGCTCCGTGCATACCCCAGTTTCTCGATTCTCCTCCTCATCGCCATTCCCTCTCACGTTTCTCCCCTTCACTTTGGGCAGGCAGCTTTTGCTCGTCACTTTCTCCCGTTTCAGATCTCGACTTTCCCGCCACCTCTAGCCACTCTAGCCATGGCTGCCGCTGCTGACGATATCGTGACCTGTCCGAGGCATTCCTCTGATTTTCGACCTTCAACCGTAAATGATGATTTAGCAGCTGCTGCCACGTCTTCTAGCAGCAGCCCGAAATACTCGTTTTAGGATGGCGCGACCTGCAGTAGTAAGCGAGTACTAGCAGCTGCTGGCACACGATCTGTTCGAGCTGCTGACGCGCCTACCGTGCATGACGCGACCACTAGCAGAGCGTCGTCAGCAGCCAGTGCGTGGTTACAGCGCCTGACACGCGTTTCCAGCAGCTCGCGACCTCAACTGCATCTGCTGCTGCTGGCGCTCTACTTTAGAAACTGACGGGCTACTGAACGCGACCCTGTAGCAGCATGACGCGCACTGCTGCATCAGCGCCCGTGACGACCGGCTGCAGTGGCTGGCGTACGGCTGCAGCAGCATGCGCGCTCCCCCTGTGCTCCTCCTTGCTCATGACAGCACTGTCAAAGCATATGCATGTTATATATGTGTAGGCTGTAGTGGGGTAGCCAATATGGGGTACAGCCCCTTTTAGGGTTTCATACTTGTACCCAACTCTTCCATAGTTCATTCATTCCTGTCTCTTGATTCTGACATGGTTTCAGGGCAGTAGGTCCGTAGGACCGTTTTTTTTTTTTCGGGCCCACCTACCGCTACCCCACGACTGTGACTGTGACTGACTGTGCCTGTGACGTGCTGCGCTGCGCGCGCCGTCTGCCTGCTGCCTACTGTCTGCTGACTGTGCGATCTGCTGCTGCTTAGAGCGCGCAGACCTAATTCCTGCGCGCGGCTCGTTTTTTTGCCCACCGAGTCGCCCACCCTGCCCGAGTCGCGCCTCGGCAGCCCGCGCGCGGCTCGCTGCTGCTTCGCGCGCCGCGTCTGCAACCCGCGCGGCGCGTTGCAGCCCCGCGCGTCAAGACAGCTGCCCGCGCGTCGCGCTGCAGCCCCGCGCGCCGCGACCGCTGCCCGCGCGTCGCGCTGCAGCCCCGCGCGCCGCGCGCGCTGCCCGCGCGTCGCGCTGCAGCCCCGCGCGCCGCGACCCACCTGCTTCTGCCGCGGCCGCGCCCTGCCGCCGACACGGCCCCGCCCGGACGCTGACGCGGCCCTGCCAGCCCTGCAGCTGACGCGGCCCCAACCTGCCGCTGACGCGGCCCCGCCCTGCAGCGGACACGGCCCCGACCTGCCGCTGCCGCGGCCTCGCCCTGCAGCTGACGCCGCCCCACCCCTGCAGCTGCCGCGGCCCTACTCTACAGCTGCTGCTGCGGCCCTGCCGTCGCCGCCGTCGTGCGCCTCCCCTGCCGCCGCCCGCCGAGAGCCGGCCCTGCCCGCCACTGGTGAGCACCTGCCTTGTTCGTGCACTGCAGCGCCCTCTGCCTGCCTGTCTACCTACCTGCCTGCCTGCCACTCCTGCCGCGCCTGCTCTGCCCGAGCTGCTGCTGCTACTGCTGCTACTGTTGCTACTGGCGGTGGCCAGATGCAGCTCCAACGACGCCCGCGCGAGTCTCTCACGCCTCAGCAGCTTCGTGAGTGGTACGCTAGTTGGGGTTGTGGCGGTAGCCGTCGTGACTGTCCCCCTGGAGCTGGTCGGTCGGGAGCGTCTGGCAGTGGCCAGCTGCAGCTGCAGCGGCGTCCGCGCGAGACACTTACGTCCTGGCAGCTTCACGAGTGGTACGCTCAGAGTAGAGGTTTTTTGAGTACCGTTCGTTGCCCGTACGTCCCACGCACAGGTGATCGGTCTGGTCAGGCTTGCGGGACACTTGGTCACACCCAGTCCCGCTGCTTCGCCCGTCTGAGCGACGCCTGGCGCACAGAGTTTGGTGACGAGGCTGAGCTCCCCACCTGGCTGGAGCTGCTTGGGCAGGGGGTAGATATCTTTGCTCTTGACTATGATGCTATTC